ATAAATATAAATGTGATATATACATCCAATGGAGTACTATCCACTGATTAAAACAGGATAAATTTTGAAATACACTAAAAATAAAGAAATAAAAATAATTCATCTACAGACACACTGTCACTATGCATAATAAATGTATAATCCTAGTGATATTCAAATTAAAACCACATCAAAATACCACTAGAATAGCTATAATCCAAAAGACAATACCAAATATTGGCACAAATGTGGAGAAATTGGTAACCTCATATACTGCTGATAGTAATGTATAGCCACTTCAGAAAAGCAGTTTTACAGTTTCTTAAAAATTAAACAGAAGTTTACAAATAATCCAATGCCATGCCTATGAATCTGTCCCCAAAAAAATGAAAACCTATGTTCACAAAGAATTGTTCACAGCAGCATTGTTCATAATAGCCTAAAGCTGGAACCAGTTTGGTAAACAGATTTAAGAAAATTTGGCATATCCACACAATTCAGTATTCATTCATGAAAATAACAATTCAGTGTAAAGACATTTCAAACAGCCTTGCACCTAAGTATAATCTGAATGTTACCTGGAATTCACCTGCCCAAGGGTAAGATAAGGGTCACATCTTCATTAACAAAGAGAATGTTACCATTTGGAAGCTGAGTCACTGGAGAATCTTGATTGTCCCTGCCCACAAGTCTCTTCCAATTATTTCTAGACAGCCCCAGGTGATAGCAATATTTCACACAAACTTAAGTACCAGTCCATTCTTGTTTTATTCTAAATTTAATTCAACAAAGATTTGTTGAATGACAATATTATGTCATGACTCTGGGGACACAATGATAAAGTAACCTTACCTCCAGGGAGGGATAAACACGGAGAGACACTAAACAACACTTAATTTTTCTCCAAAATGTTCCTAGCCAGCACTAGTTAGGAACATATGAAAGGACAAGCTGCCAGTGCCTACATGGAAAGGTTGTTTCCTTGCTGTTCTACCAGATATTAGTAGTCCTGAGGGACGCTGCTGATATAAAAAGACTGGAATAAGATCTTTCTCCATCTCCTGTCAAGCTTCTTCACTTGGGATCTGAATTGCTTACACGGTCCTTCATCAACATCAGTCCCTCACCTTCTCAGTCAACCTTAAAAGTAATATGATCTTCCTTTACCTTCCTCTCCTTTTAGTTTCCACTATGATACACTTATACCACTGCCTGTGAACTTATGCATATAGATGTCTGGGCTAGGTGTGAGCTACACAGACACATATTTTTCTCAGTAAAGTCCAGCATGACAGCTCACTGCATGAGATGTAATCAATTACCAGAGGTGAAAGAAAAATCTATTTTTATTTTGATTTTTAATTTTAATATGCGTGAAGTTTAATGTTCCTTAAAGAAACATTATGTCCGAAGACTGCTCATTTTAATATAAGGTATGTGTATGACCCAGAGATGTATCTACAGTTAGGTATATTAACAACAACAAAAATCATAATAATACCTGGCCTGAATGAGTCAGAATTCAATTATGGAAATTACTAATGACAAAATGTTAATGAAAAAAAATTATGTCAATAGCAGACTTTCAGAAATGCTGCATTAAAACATCCCAGCTTTCATGTGTAGATTATTTCAATCAGTCTTTATTTCTTAATGATTTATTTTATTGAAGTTAGTTGATTTACTAATGCTTTCCTTTCTTATACCTTTGAGTATGAAACTAATTTTTTCAGTTGCCTTACAGATTCAAACAAGAAAATAAACAACAGAGACATATCATGTCTGATATGTGTTCTGATCCCATAAAATCACTTTTTTAACTTTTTAAATAATTTTTTAAAATTTAATTAGTTGCCAAAGCATGTGGAATCTTCCTGGACCAGGGATCAAACCCATGTACCCTGCTTTGGCCGGTGGATTCTTAACCACTGGATCGTCAGGGAAGTCTACATAATCACTTTAATAATGATTGAAATGGGCTTTGCGCAAGTGGGATATAAGCAATCCTGTAGTGTCTCTAATACCCAAAGCAGTGCAGATACAGAGATATAGGTTTGCCTTCTTCTCATAGGGCTATAGTTACAAAGTCTACAAGATTAGCTACAAAGACTACTCTCTAAATCACACATTCAATCACAATCTAATTTTAAATCAGGTCTATTGATGTGTAATTTACATATAATAAAGTTCACCCATTTTAATTGTACAGTTTAATGAATTGTGATAAACATGTATACAGCATCACAAAGAAAAAGAAAGAAGTTCTTTTTAAAGTTTTCTAAAGAAAAAGTTTCCTCATGCTCTCTTGCTGTCAATCTTTTCCCCTCTTCCACTTCCTCACTTAGCATAATACTTCTGACATTCCTCCATGATGTTACATCATCAGTAACTGGGGTTTTTTATTGCTACATAGTACTCTGTTTTATGGATAACACAATTAATTTATCCTTTTGCCAGTTGATAGACATAAGGTTGTTTTCATTGGGGACTACTGTGAACAAAGCTACCATGAACATTTGTGTACAGATCTTTGTATGGACATATATTTTCATTTCTTTTGGGTAAATACCTAGAAATGGGATTAGTGGGTTGTAAAGTAATTACATATTTAACTTTATAAGAAATTTTCCTGAGTGGCTATAGTATCTTTAAATTCCTCCTAACAAAGTTTAGCAGTTCTAGCTGTTCCACATCTTTGTCAATGCTTGGTATTGGCCTTTTTTAATTAAGTCATTCTAGTATCTAGTGATATTGCATTTGTGATTTTTAATTTGCATTTTCTTAATGACTAACAATATTGAGCAAACTTGCATTTGTTTACTGATCATCCATCTGTGTTTTTTGATGAAGTGTCTATTCCAATCTTTTACTCAGTTTTTACTGATAATGTCATCTTTTTTATTGAGTTCAGTTGTGTATTCTGAATATAAGTCCTTTATTAGATATAGATTTTACAAATATTTTTGCCCAACCTGTGGTTTTTCCTTTCATTTTCTTGAGTATTTTAGAAAAGCAAAAGTTTTAAATTTTGATGTATTCAAAATTACCATTATTCTTTTACCATTCTTCCTAAGAAATCTTTGCCTAAACAAAGGTACAAAAATTTTATATGTGTTTTTCTCTATGTTTACTTCCAGAATTCTTACAGTTTAGCTCTTAGATTTAGGTTTTATAACCCATTTCAAGTTAATTTTCATATACTGTGTGAGGTTGGGATTGATATTCATATTTTTCATGTAGATATCCAGTTTTTCCAGTTCCATTTGCTTAAAAGACTGTCCTTTCCCACTGAACTACTTTTAAAAATCAGTTGACTGTAGATGTGTTGGTCTGTTTGTAGATTCTATTTTGTTCATTGATCCATTGGTTCCAGTACTACATAGGCTTCATTATTGTGGCATTATAGTAAATCTTGAAATAAAATAGTATAAGATCTCCAGCTTTGATCTCCTCTTTCAAATTGTTTTGGCTTGTCTAAAACAAACTGTTAGCTTTTATTTCCATATACATTTTATAATCATATTTTTAATTTCTACCCAAAAAAGTCCACTGGAGTTTTGATTGAACTCACATTGACTCTCTAGATAAATCTGGTTGTTGTCGTTCAGTCGCTAAGTCATGTCCAACTCTTTGCGACCCCATGGACTATACTCAACCAGGTTCCTCTGCCCATGGGATTCTCCAGGCAAGAATACTGGAGTGGGGATAAATCTGGAGAGAACTGATATTTTTAAAATATTTAGTCTTCTGATCTGTGAACACAGTATAGCTCTTCTGTTGTTTGTGTCTTCTGTAATTTCTCTTAACAACTGTTTTCAGATCTTGCACATATTTTGTGTTAAATTTATCCCTAGATATTTCATGTTTTATGCTAAATTAAATGTGTTTTTATTTTGATTTCCAGTTGTTCATTGTTTACACTATAATTTTAAGAAAGATTTAGATGCAGCATTCTGAGTGGTATGGCTTGAAGACAAAAGAAAAACGTGCTCCTAAATGATAATAATTTCTAATAAAGAAGAAATTATAGCAATAGAATCACTGAATAACAAAAGCAAGTGAAAGAATCATGAATACTGTTAGCAGTCACTTTTACAGTCAAGCATGGAAATTACTATATATTCATAATGAATGATAATACAAAACATGACCAGAGACCAGTAAAGAAGAAATGGCCCTGGACCTAGAGTCAGGAGGCCCAGACTTGAGTTATCACCTGCATACTTAAAAAGTATATAGTCCAAGATAGATAAACCTCAACAAACATTTCCTTCTTTCTCATTTTTTATTCAGCTAACAGTTGGCGAATGTTCACAAAGAGCCAAACACTAAGCTAAGTGCCACTAAATGGGACAAATGCTATAGTCCATATCATTAAGGAGTTATAAGGAAAGCTCAAATGAAAAAGAGTTATATGAAATATTTTGGTAAACTAAAATATAAATTTAATGTGCTACTATTATTTTTATTATAATTATACCATAAAATCTTCATTTATAAGTGTTATTACTTTAATACAGAGCTCATACCAAAATAAGAAAGTGTCTTTGGAAAAAAAATTAAATGGATTATAGCTAGAGAATTCTAAAATTAATTACTCCATGACACACCAAAACCCTATCTCTTCTATTAACCTGTAATCACATGTTAGAAGTATTAGGTAAATCCACAGATACGGATGAAGCCTGATGTGTCATTTTTAAACCCTGCAAAAGGAAAGAATGGGCTTGAAACATAAAACTTTTCCTTCCAGATGAAGGAGGTAGGCTTATTAATTTCTATTAATAGGAGACCTTCTGCTGACAATTTTTCTATTAGAAATCTGGCAAACTCACAAGATGACAGATGGACTGAGAATTCAGAAGTATGCCAAAAGACTTTATGTAAAGTGATGTAGTCAAAAAATATGCCAGTTTCCTCAGTTATAGATTAATATCCAAATTAAAATATTCCATGTTTTTGGTCAGTATATTATATTAGTTGCTCGAAAACTACTATTTTGCTCTTTGTATTTTTTTAAGGTTTGATTCTCATAAAGGTTTCTGGTGTCAGTTACTGGAAGAAGGTAAAACAAAATGCCTTGGAAAGAGCAAAGGAAGAAAATACCCTCCAATGGATCCTGATGTAAGTATAGAGCTTAAAAATACAAACTAAATAAGCAAAATGATACATAAAAATATATCTATTTTCTTAGAAAAATGATTAAAGTAAAAAATTCACTTTCTAAAAATAAAAAGTAACATTTGGATTGGATTCATCCTGCTTGCTTGTTTTGATTTTTCCAGTGATATATTACCTGTCATGTGAGAATAAAGGCCAACAATAGAATTTGCCATTTTGAATTAGAACAAAGAAGGCAACATCTCATTCCAAAAAGAGATACATTCACAGAAATTTTAGCACTAAAAATGTTAACTGAAACCAGGGCAGGAAATGTATCAACTGGAAATTAAAAATAGGACCAAAAGATTTTATTTTCACTAAGTCACTCTGTAGTGGTGAATGTGGCCTGCATAATAATATTAATTACTGGCATACTGAGTTTTGAACTGCTAATATGATAATAAGATTAAAGAATTAATATATTTCCCAGATGTATAACATACTAGCAGGTAATTTAAGCTCTGGAGAATGGAGACACCCAAACTTTGCAATAGACATGTAACATGTCATGTTTGTTCTGCTCCAAATGGTGCCATGGTGGTCACTTAAAGCTACAGTTTTCCCACTTCGTTGGCCCTATATTTTCACTTTAAAGCTTACTACACATATATTACAATTTATTAATGCTTTGATTTCATAATCAGTCCAGTTAATGTGCAATTTGGACATAAGAACACAAGCAGATTGATTTTATTAAAAAAAAACTCAAAAATTAAAACATTATTTGAGACTGTTTTCCCACAATGTTTAATATATTGTGGTAACTAAGAATCCTACAGTGGTCTGAGAATCCTAACATGGTCTGAACTTATCTGAATCCTTTTTAATACAGAGTTTTGTCCTCACTAATAATTAAATTCTATCTAAAATACATTGTGGGGATTCTTACTGTTGTTTTGATAAACAGAGGGTACTCTCAGAACTACAGTTTTCTTTGGTGGATTATTAAAATATACCTTCAGAGCGCTATGAAAACAATACACATTAATAAATATTCAAGTGCGATTTCCATAGCATTTCAAAAGACAGCAATATAAAATGTTTCATTTTCATGTGTGTCAAAGCTATTTCTCTGTATATTTACTGAAACTAAAACATTTAAGACACTGTAGAACATCTTTCTTAGCATTTTATTTTACTCCCATCAAACACATACTGAGACATGATATTAAATTCTATGGTAGAGAAAGATTAAAAACCAAAACTTTTCAGGATATCACTACTTCCATGTCTCTCAATAAGGTTTCTATGTAATACATTCCTCAAATGTTTTTTCTCAAACACCTCTGACATCAGATATGTGGGTATTCCATACTAAGCAATTCTGTAATTTTCTGCAGACACCAGGTAGGTGTCCTATAATTTAATCCAATTCTGACACCAACCACCCAGGGTTAAATACAGTCACCACAGATTAAGGGCTCAGTCCCACAAAACTGCCCCCCTCAAACTCTGGTAGCAAGTAGTGGGGTCCCAAGTTATTCACATATCTGTCCAACTTGGCTACAAATCAAGGCTTCCCAAGAATTCTTCCCCAAGTTTTATAATTTGATATAATGATTCACATGCCCCAGAAATACTTTGCTTTCTGTTATTATAAATGAAGAGGGACACAGGAAAAGGTCCAGAAGGGTCCTGAGCACCAGAGCTTCTCCTCTAGCAACCAGCCCTGTCTGAAGTTATCTAGGGACCCTTAAGAGTCACTTTATTAGCATAAACTTAGGCAAAGTTTACAGGAACGTACTGTATGTAACAAAAGACACTCTTCACCCCTGTAACTCAGGAAATTACAAGGTTCTTAGGAGCTCTCTGCTGGAGCCAGATTCAAAACCAAATTTATTTTTCTTATTATATCACAATATCAATCCATATGGATTTGTTTGAGGGAGTAGGGTGGCTGACTTCATACAGATAATGCCCAGACAGGAGGCGAGAGTAAGGCATCTTTCCTGGAGGTAGTGAAAACACAAATGCGTAGAACAGATTCGAGTAAGCAGTACTGTCACCACACTGCTTGCTTCTCCTTCTACTACAGAAAAAAACAACAGTACCCTTCCCACAAGTATCACCAAAACATCATAGGATACATTTGATCCTGGAAATTAAGATTTGGTGGATTATTTGGCTTCCACTTTGGCTTTGTTTATCAAAATATATTATAGGAAAGGAATAAAATCTGACATTTTGAATGAACCACTTAGTCAATTACCTCTACAAATCAAAAACACTTAATAGTTTCTTTGATAATAGTCCAATAAGCAACCTGATACTGAATTATATGATTCCTTCTTTTATCCTGTTTTATATTATAGAAGTATACATTATTATTCCTTTTATTACATTAATTTCATGTGAATTTCCATGAAATGGACTACATTGGCATATATTAGCATATATTCTCTCTGATTTGCCATCTAAAATAGTACCCTCTCTGAATAATCATCAGATAACAATGTATGTACAATAAATTCTGCATATCACTGAATTCTGTCCTAGTAATTTTTGGCCTGAACATATTAGACTCTCAAATAGGATGTGTTATGCTTTACAAATCTCGTATCAGTTACCTTGCCATATGAGGGAGCAGAAGAAGAAGGGGTACTTGATTATGGGGACCAACATACTCACTTAATAGGGCACAGGACAAGGGTTTGGCTGCTGATATAGGCTGTCAGGTTTGAAAATAATGCCAAAAAAGCCAGTACATTGAGATGTAGTTTAGATAATCGTCAGTATCAGGAGGTACGATACTGATACAAAACTCCAAAGCAATGTAGGAAGAATGTGGATCTCAGGAGGTTCAATTCTAAAGTTAGTTGAGATGCTGGAGAATCCATGGGAAATATTAGGGGACAAGCTGGCAGGATGTAGGCAGTCCCAGGCTGCTGTTGCCCCAGGGCTTCATTCATAAAGAAGAGCAATGCAAAGGGAGACCTTAGCAGTTCGACACAAGGGCCTAAGGCTCAGCCCTGGATTCCAGGTCTGGTTGGCAGCAAAGGAGGCACAGAATGATCAGGCCCCCAGACAGAGGATCTGGGAATATGTTTTGTCTCCACCTTTCTCTGGCTAGGGTGTGCTAGCTGGTCCTGTCGGTTGTTTTAGAGCTGATGACTAAGGAGACCCAAACAGAGAAAAGTAGGGAGACTGACACATGAGCCACACAAAGGTTCGCCTTCTCCCTTGATCGCAGTGATGGTTACAGTACAGCACAAAGGTTCAGTCTTGCTCCAGTGATCGTAATTACTGCAAAAACCACTATGTTACATTGACGTTATCAACATAAAATGACATGTTTTCCTATGGCATTGAAGATGAGGTACCAGATATGATATTTTAAGAGAGCAGCAGAAGAAAATAAGATTAATTTAAAATTAATCTTTTTTTAAATTAATCTTTTAAAGATTCAACTGAACTGAAACCCTCGGAGTAGTAAAGCAGAGAGGTACAGATAAAGATCCAGAAACCCACCCTCCCTCCAAGACATTCCCAACAACAGTCATTTGAACTACATATAAATCCCACTAAATCACAGCACTTCCCATTTCTTACAATTTCAATTATTAAAATATTTTCTTTTATTGAAGGGAAATCTACCTCCTTATAAATCAGGATTGTTTACAAGGCATTCCTTTCCTTCCTTGGGTCAAATAGTGCAAATATATCAGGTTATAGGTTTATCTGATTTACCTAACACAGTACTGTTTTAACAGTGAATATTTTCTGTATGCCTTAAAAGTGCTCTTAAGAAAATATTATCTTCAAATTCTACATGTAAATTAATGATGACAAAAGAGTGTTTTATTTTATAGATTTATCAAGCCAACTCTTGCTCCAAAGCCAGAATGGTTTTAATAGAGCATAATACTGGAACCAATCAGTTGTTACAGCTATATTTCTAAACTCAATCTAGCTATTTGAACATTTAATTCTGCACAAATAAACCACATGTTTAATACAAAAGTCTTTTCCCTAGTGAAAACATTTATGTGTTTGGAGTGTGTATTTTCAAGAACAGAGTCACTGTGTTTTGTTGTTCAGCCACTAAGTCATGTCTGACTCTCTAACTCCACGGACTGCAGCACGCCTCAGTCCTCTGTCCTCCACTATCTCCTGGAGTTTGCTCAAATTCATGTCCATTGAGTCAGTGAAACTATCCAACCATCTCATCCTCTGCCACTCCCTTCTCCTTCTGCCTTCAATTTTTCTCAGCATCAGGGTCTTTTCCAATGAGTCAGCTCTTTTGCATCAGGTGGCCAAAGTACTGGAGCTTCGGCTTCAGCATCAGCTCTTCCAATGAATATTCAGGGGTTGATTTCCTTTAGGATTGACTGGTTTAATCTCCTTGCAGCCCAAGGGACTCTCAAGAGTATTTTCCAGCACAGCAGTTCAAAAGCATCAGTTCTTCAGCACTCAGTCTTCTTTATGGTCCAACTCTCACATCCATACATGACTACTAGAAAAAACATAGCTTTGACTAGGACTTTCCAGTTTTTTCTAGAACTCTCTTGCTTTCTCCATGATCCAGCAAATGTTGGCAATTTGATCTCTGGTTCCTCTGTCTTTTCTAAATCCAATTTGTACATCTGGAAGTTCTCAATTCACGTACTGCTAAAGGACTGCTAGAAGGACTTTGAGCATAACCTTACTAACATGAAATGAGCACAACTATACAGTAGTTTGAGCATTATTTGGCATTGCCTTTCTTTGGGATTGAACTGAAAACTGACCTTTTCCAGTCCTGTGGCCACTGCTGAGTTTTCCAAATTTGCTGGCATATTGAGTGCAGCACTTTAACAGCATCATCTTTTAGGATCTGAAATACCTCAGCTGAAATTCCATCACCTCCACTAGCTTGGTTCATAGTAGTGCTTCCTAAGGTCCACCTGACTTCACATTCCAGGACGTCTAGTTTTAGGTGAGTGACCACATCATCATGGTTATCTGGGTCATTAAGAACTTTCTTGTACAGTTCTTCTGTGTATTCTTGCTATCTCTTCTTAATCTCTCTGCTTCTGTTAAGTCCTTACCATTTCTGTCCTTTATCATGCCGTCCTGGCATGAAATGTTCCCTTGAGATCTCCAATTTTCTTGAAGATATCTCTAGTCTTCCCCATCCTATTGTTTCCCTCTATTTCCTCTATTTAACAAGGCCTTCTTACCTCTCCTTGCTCTTCTCTGGAACTCTGCATTCAGCTGGGTATATCATTCCCTTTCTCCCTTGCATTCACTTCTCTTCCTTCCTCAGCTATTTGTAAAGCCTCCTCAAACAACCACTTCAGCTTCTTGCATTTCTTTTTCATTAGGTTGGTTTTGGTCACTGCCTTGGGTACAATGTTACAAACTTCCATCCATAGTTCTTCAGGCACTGTGTCTACCAGATCTAATCCCCTGGATATATTTGTTACTTCCACTATATAATCATAAGAGATTTGATTTAAGTCAGAGCTGAATGGGCTAGTGATTTTCCCTACTTTCTTTCAGTTTAAGCATGAAGTTTAGAATTAGGAGCTCATGATCTGAGCCACAGTCAGCTCCAGGTCTTGTTTTCGCTAACTGTATAGAGCTTCTCCATCTTTGGCTGCAAAGAACACAGTATGATTTCATCACCATCTGGTGATGTCCATATGTAGAGTCACCTTCTGAGTTACTGGAAATGCTATAACTAACGTGTTCTCTTGACAAAACTGTTAGGTTTTGCCCTGTTTCATTTTGTACTTCAACACCAAACTTGCCTGTTATTCTGGGTATCTCTTGACTTCCTACTTTTGCATTTCAGTCCCCTGTGATAAAAAGGACGTCTTTTTGGGGTGCTAGTTCTAGAAGGTGTAATAGGTTTTCATAGAACTAGTCAACTTCAGCTTCTTTGGCATCAGTGGTTGAGGCATAGACTTAGATTACTGTGATACTGAATGGTTTGCCTTGGAAATGAACCAAGATCATTCTGTCATTTTTGAGGTTGCAACCAAGTATTTTGTATATTGTATTTTGGGCTCTTTTGTTGACTAGATTGTGCTAAATAAATAGTGTGTATGCTTAAAATCAATTTTAAGTCACTATGTAAATATCTACAGCTATAAACAAACATCATCACAGTGTGTGAAGTGTACTCTAACAGACACAATTGAATGTCCTTGTGTCTCCTCCCCCCACCTCAGAGCAGAGCATTTCTGTCCAGCTACTACCGCGAGCACAACGTGGAACTCTCCAAGCTGCTGCACAGACTGGGACAGCCTCTGCCATCCTGGCTGAGGCAGGAGCTGCAGAAACTGAGATAGCACTGTCAGAAAGCCGAAGCATCTCCGTGGAACGCTCACCTCTCCTGGAGCTTCCCGGAGCTACCAAAAGGTGGTTTAAAATATACCTCTTCAAATGAGAAAAGAAAAACAAAGTTCTTTCCATGTGCTGGCACGTGGATGATTAGAAACAAAACAAAACTAAAAGTATTTGTTATAAGCCTTGAGGCCTATGGCCTTTCTCTTAACCCATATCTGAGCCTGTGGGGTTATTGGAGACTACTGTGCACTCATGTGTTAATCAATAGCAACCAATATAAATATCAAATACCAATGCAGAACTGTTCCATTTCGTAGTAATATTTACACTTTTATATATCAACTAAGATTATGTCTCTGTAGACTTTTAGGCTGCTGTTTGCCTGTAGAATGTTTTCTTATTCTTTGATTCTATAAAGTGTCCTACAAAACAAAAAGTAAACATCACAATGTAGCATAAAGCGCCAGAGGCCTAATGCCCATGAAAACTGCTTGCAAAAATATAAAATCCACTGAAGTATTTAGAAAGAATTATAATTTACAATTTGTCCTAGATCAGAGAATGGTAAAGTTATATCTGAGCTTTATCTGCATCGAAAAAAAAAAAAAGATAAGTGTTATAGAAGGAAAAAAGTGATTTTTCATCCACATAGTCTAGTGCATTTCTGTAAAAGTTACTAATGTCTCTATCATTACATAATTATTATTCTGAAAGGTATGTTGTACCAGCTATTGGATGGGAAATAGAAACACACTGAGTATACCAAAACAGTAAGAAGCAATATTAAGTGTACTGACTAAATCCTCTAAAAGCAAGAAATTGTAGGGGTCTGAAGATATCTGATTGACAACTTATGTCCCTTTGCTGTGAGCTGCAGATCAACTCCAGTAGTCCTCACTGGTTCTACAGAAATGTTTGCTTAGAATCTGAGGTCTATGTCATCTCTAGAAACAAACTGACTTTTTAATGTAAACAAATTTTTCTTAATGGTCCCAAGAAAAAAAACCTATTAACTGAAATCTAAGGACAGTTTCTCCAGATGATATATTGGGTTATTTATGTTTAAATTACAGAAAAATTACATATTTTCAGATAATTCAAAATGAAATTGTATAATACAGAGATCTGTGACAAAAAACAAATTAATGTGTGATTTTTAATCTCAGATTTGCAATGAATATTACAAGGCAGAAAAAGATAATCAAAGCCCAGTGCCATTTTTTTAGAACATTTTGTACATCACTCTCATGGAAGACAATAGAACACAGTTAAATTTATGGGTTATCTACTAAATTAAATGGAGGAAGTACCAAGATGAGCCAGGCATGGTTCTTAAAATATATTTTACACTTAAATTTTTAATGATTATATGATTAATAAAGTATTCAAAAAAAGAAAAGAATGTCATGCTGATTTTCCTGTGCTTATATTTACTTAGTTTTTAAATATACTATACACATAAGAAATTTAAGTAGTAAATAAATTCCTTGCTATGACTATATAAGCTTTTATGAATGTTATCAAAAGTATGATTAGAAAAAAAATTATGCCCAAATAGTTTCATGGCCATTATAATATATGAAATTGAACTCTATCAACTATTCACTAATTAGAAAACAAATTTTGAGATACTTTCACTAACTATTCATTTCTAAAATTGTATTATAATAATTAAATGTTTTAAAGTTTTGTATACCCAAATGATAAGCTAATTTTTAAACAAACAAGCTATTAGCAGAAAGAATTAGACAAAGAACCAGATTTTAAGATCCCTGACAGTAAAAGCAAAATCAAAGTCATTTGGAAAAAGATGGTAAAGTCAGTCTTCATGCTTACCACTACCTTTTATGAACAGCACATGTCTAACATACTAGAAAATGAATATAGCCTTTGATCTTCATTATTTTAAGAAAATTTGCTTAAGAGGGTCAAACATAGTGAGAATAGGCCCCAGCAGTTACATACGGTATTGTGTTTTCATTCTGACAACATTTCTACTGATTCAAAAAAAAAAAGGAAAGGAGAAGAAAAACAATGCATTTACACTTCAAGGATGAGATGTGCATTTAAACTTCTAAACAAAGCTGCTAATGGTGTAATTCTGTCTGGATAAACTGAGTCAACTAAACAGCTTACCCTTTAAGAAATGTTAAAAACACACTGGATGCTTGTGGGATGAAAGGAGAAAAAAGAAGAGATCATGCCAAAATTTACTCATTCATAATATAGATATTATGCTACCTAGAGCAGCAAACCTTTGAAAGGAATTTTGATCACTCAGTATATCTGGAAGACAACTCAAATACTAGGGGACACGCACACTTACTATACTGCATACTCCAGGTGGTTGTTACGCTCTTCTGAAAGTAACATAAATACACATGAGGAAAGAAAGAAATAATGTGATTTCAAACTAGCTTTGTATGGCATTCTTTTTTCATTGCTTAAAATATGAAACTTCCTCAGGAAGAAATGAAATGGTTATTTCAGTGTTTATAGCTATAATATTCTTGTCATTCACATTGAATGAAAATTAATGGAAACATTTTTTTTTCTGAGTTTTTTAAAATAAAAAACCTGGATATAATTCTGATAGTAGCATGGTACCTCATATGTATAACAATAAACTGTGATAAGAAAAGAGTTTGAGCCTGGTGATTTTAGATAACAAGTAGGCATTTGTTTGATAGTTGGTGTTTGCCTGTGACCAAGTGGGAGGTGGCCATAGAACACAGATACCACTAATACAATTCAAAATGGTGAGATACTCTCTTTGTGCAGCGAACTCGCGCGGAGTAGAGATGGTCCTCAGGCGGTTGGCCTGTCGCCTGCTGCGGAACCTTCCCCAGAGCAGGGGGAGGCTGCAGCCTGCGCCGTCTTTGCACAGCTACCGGCGTGCAGCTCCTGATTCTCGAAGGAGGGTCCGAGGCACCACGAGGGAGTTAAAACGTCCACCGGTGTGTTATTCTTAAAAGAGGGCCTGAGAGCTTTGGAAGCCCAGACAGGGCAGTACCTCTTCACAGAGATTCCAGGCTAGCCTGGTGACTGAAGGCCTAAAGTTTGGAATTCTCTTGGAGAAGCACTTTTGGGGTGGCTGGGATGTCCAGGTGATGGTTCCTGCCACTTCAGCAACAGGCTGTGACAAGAAGTGAAGAGCAAGATGCCTTCTACCTGGGTACTATGTTTTAGGATTTTGCTGATGCAGAGGATGTCCCTTACCTGTGCTGGTCAGATCCTTGAAACTTCACATGTTTCCTGAGTGAACCTGTGTGAGCAGCTGTCAAACTCCGGTGGAGAGGGGGTGGGCTGCCTAGAAATTTGGGGACCAAAATCAATTAGGTGATCTTTATTAGAAAGGTTGCAATAAAATGTTTTAAAGCAAATAAAAATAGGTGGGTCTGAGTAAAAGCAAGAAGGTACAGAAAGATTTAGGGATGTGAAAGTGAATGAGCATCACAGTTGACATCTAATTGTAGCTCTTTCCAGGTACATTACAAAAAACTAAAATTAGGTTTGTCACATATTGACACCAATGTTGAGGATTTCTAGATGGAGTACCATAACATTTTTAATATTTGAGGTTTTAATTATACTATTAACACAGTCATCCAGTTTTCTTTTTGATGAATTGGTGAAAACATAGGTTGTCTGGATATATTTTTAGAAGAATAATACTCCTGGTGGTTGTCAGGAGCTGGGAATGAGGAAGTGAAGAAATACTTAATGGGTATTGTTTCAGTTTTACAAGGTGAAAGAGTTCATGGGGATGGATGGTGGTGATAATTGCTCAATGTTATGAACATTGTTATTACCAATGAATAATAAAGACCTGTATAGCACAGGAAATTCAGTCCTCTGTAATAGCCTATAAGAGAAGAGGATCCCAAAGTGTTTGTGTGTATAACTGATTCAGTTTACTGTATACCTAAAACTAACATTGTAAATCAACTATATCCCAATAAAATTTTTTTAATGGTAAAAAAAAAAAATGGTGAGATACATGGAAAACTTCCCAAGAACACATGAGTTTAATTTTAATGCTATAACCTTAAACAGATCTTCTAATCAATATTAGTTAGTTTTTGTTTAGTTCTAGTACATGTAAAACAGTTCCTAGGGTCACTCATGAGACCGGAAAGTGAGAAGAGCACACAGCTGTTACTTAACGGACTTGAGAGCCTGAAGTCTGAGCATCTTACTCCTAGTGCTCTGCTCTGCTCCCCACAAATCAGCTGCTTTCTTTAGAGCTTTATAAGGAGTTAGCTAGTCTCTCTTTTCTTAAAAATCTAGCAAAACAGACCATCTCTGCAAAAAAAAAAAGGAGGGGGTCAGGAGAGTTAGACATTTATCTACATTTTCCACAAAACTTTCTTTTCTCTATTCCAGTCCCTTTCTTTTCTAAACATCAGGCTTTCTCATGTTGCAACCCACCCTGTCATCATACACCAGTTGATTCTTCATAGGATTATCTCCCAGACACACAGTTCTCCAGTCTAGGATACATCTGACCCCCAATTTTCTATGTGTGCCATCCTATGTTCTATTTACTCTGAGACCAACTGGTGAGTGGTTAATAAACCAACCCCATTGATGTTAGTGGCTTATAATGACTTACAATATTTTATTTTCAAGAGATATCAGCACTGCATTTTCCAGGAGATATGTTTAAGGCTCATTGTTGAGGAGGCACTGAACAGTTCAAATATTTCAGAAGGAAGGGATTTCTCTATTTGCAAATTATTCTCTAAGGCTGAGTTCTATTCTGCCAAAACTGACACAGCGTGGTTACCACCTACAGCATGGCTACCGCCTTCATCCTGCCCACCCCACCCCATGCACACACACACCCATCCCCAAATAGTTAGGAGTCATGGAAAGAGCAATGAATCCCTGTGGTGGATAATCCTTAAGAAATTATTTGTGTTGGCTTGACATGTTTAACTTCTTTTCACTTTACCTAAAAGCAAACCAAATTTTATAAGGTCAAGCCATTAATTTATGCTTTGAGGTAAGAGCTAAAGACACTGTGTCTCATTGATTGCATTCCCAGAAAAATCTAGAATTTACTTTGAGTAAGCCTTTCACCTGTGGCCAACGGAAGCTAAGAGAATTTGAGGGCCATTTCTCCCCATCCAGTGCTACTACAAGTTCCTGCTATTTTGTCCTCAATTTATTGTCTACACAGTTCTCTATATATTCAGTTTCTTAACAAAAGTCACAAAAATATATTCATTTATTTATTAGCAGGTGAAATTTATTCTTGCCCTCCACTTCCACCTTCTTTCTTTAATTCTGTACTTATCTTACTCATTGAGTTTCTATCATTTCTCAGTCTAGTCCCAAAAGTTATAGACACAGATTAATAGATCATTAAAATTGGAACCTGCTATATTTTCACCATCTCCTTTTTAGAAAAAGAAGAATCATGAATAGTGTCAGTAAGTGTTTAAGAAAGACATTCACTAGCCAGATTCAGGTCAAATATTTTATTTGCCTATCAATTCCTTCCACAGAAGTCAAAGCAAATTCCACAAATTAAATACTCACAGTATAAAGTCTCCAAGATACTGCTAGGAAGAATGTATTTACCCACATTTTTTTCATACAGAAAACAGAATTAAACTGAATGAAATGTGAAACGTTTCCAAAGCACCCAGGATCTGTGACAAATCTTACATAAAACCATCTATATCAAGCTGTTTCTTGGTTATGAGGGAATAAATTAGGTGTAGGAAATGCCTGCTGTCTGCATTTCTGATGCCAAAACGCTCTTCTTCAAATCAATAAGTGAAATGGAAGGCAGATCTTGCTCTTAAATATTATGCATAATTTATACAGTTGGACCAGAAAGATTAGTCTTCTTTTCTCTATTTGGTAAATACTTTATTCTCAATCTGAATTTTTCAGTTTCAACCACTTTAAACAGAAATGCAAGTTCAAGATGCGATATACTCTTGGGGCTACAGTGTATTTTTTCAGAACTTAATTTATGTCTTTCAAAGTAAACAAAACTTTTAAAAGCCCACAAAACATCTACTATCAAAAACAAAGAGTCTGCTTTACAGACAGATAAATAAACTGACAAATTTAAAAGAAATTAAAGATTCCAATTTTAAAAAGAATAAAAAGCTATGAAAATGTAATACTGACCAATTTTCATTCCCACCTGGGATTAACTTGATGAAACCATGTTGCTTCTATCCCCAATTAAGGATACCCTAAGTACAACTGGAATAGCAGACAGAATCATTTGGACTAATATAGATGTTGGCCCTGATATCGGTTCTTAACCAAAACAACACTGAGTAAGTCACTTTTCCTCTAGGGCCTCAATTTCCTCATCCTTCAATGGAGGGAGTCAAGTGAGATCATCAGCACCAGGTCCTTCCCTTGTTCCATTTTATCATCATTTGCTGCGACATGTGGTTCTCCCTGTCTCTCACACACTCTGCCACAGGCAGGAGCCACAAATTAACTAGGTGTGAAAGCTGGAGGCAGGAGTGGGGTCTAAGTATGTCAATCCCTCCTCCCTCACTTCTGTTTGGAGAATACTCTGGTCTGCTTTTGGCCTGTGGTAAGTTCAGCAGAAATCTATTTTTAAATACATTATTTAAAGCACAAACATAACCAAAAGAACAAAAAACAAAAATATAAATATATGCTAAAAAAAATAGGAAGATGACCAAGAAGGTAAATGAATTAAACATTTACACACATCAAGGAATAAGGGTCTAAATGAGCCAAACCTCTGGTCCTTCATGTGTGAACCAACAGATGATGCTTCAAGCTGACAAACCAAGATGATAAGGTGAATGATAGTTGGTATTATGAAGGTAATCAACACAACTCGGATATGAATGGTTACTTACCTTTGATAAATGGGGCTGTAGTGCAAGACCAGGGAGAAGTATTTGAATTTTCATTCCAAGTGCATGTACTACTTTAGTATCAATAGTAACAGCAATAATCTATCATTTTTTAAAAAAAAATAAGTATAAATATTCAGGCCCAATAGTAATTGGCAGCTGATTTTAGCATCAGCTTGTGGGTGTTATCCAGGAGGCTGCCTGGTAGGCAAGACCTCTGCAGTGATACAGAGCCTTACTTAGTGCTTACACGGTTCTCAAAGCAGAGTCTGTGGTCCCCGAGCAGACCCAAGTCCTTTTCGGGGAATCTGCATGGTCAGAACTACTTTCATATAATACCAGTTTATCTTATCCCCTTGTCACTGTGCTGATATTCTCACTGTTTCTGCAAGAGTAATAATGGGTAAAACCGCTGGTGCTTCAACAGAAGTCTCCTGGTCACTGCATTCTCCACCATCACACACTCATTTACAAAGTCAGCTTCAGTTAAGGATACACACAACAAGGCAGTAAGAACTATTAATACCATTCAATTTCATACCCTCAACACCTAACTTTTTAATATTCTCTGTTTCAAAATGTGAAGCATACCTGAAGTACCTCTACCATACACTGAAGCAGATAGCTGTCTCAAGGAAAAGCACCTGAGCAATTATTTGAGCAAATTGAACTTCTTTTTTAATTTATTTAATCTGACAAAAACTAGTCGTCTCACTCACAGAACATCATTTTTACTTAAAAGAACGGCAGGAACTATGATTATTCAAACTTAAGAATTTTAAGACTTTTTTTAATGAAAAAAGTGAGCCTGTCACTTTAAGAAAAACAATTAACAATAAATAACAGTATTTATTGCCAATGATAAAATTTGAACTTTCACGTGAAAATTAGAATGTTGTAGATCTTGTATGCATTACTTGGAGCTTAAGAGCATACTATTATTTAAATACTTTCTCTGGTGAGATTGAGGGTGATATTAACGAATACGATCTTTTAATATTATCTATTAAAATGTACCAACGTTTGGAAGATCTGACTAGTAAACCAGTATTTTCCAAACAACTGATGTATGAGGTTACAAAAATCATTATATGTAGTGCAAGCATTATAATGGTAAAACACCCATTCTTAGGCAAGATAACCTAATAGTTTTTAATGTAGCATAGTGTGAAAAGGTCTTTGACTTGGTTTCAGATTCCACATTACAAATAGCCTCGAAGAAAATACCACTGGTCAAGTTTTAGCATAGTATCAAAGAAAAATATCCACAATTACCTGAAATGCTATAAGTATACACTCCCCTTTCCCAAACACATATTTGGGTAAGCTTAGATTTTCTCTACACACTTCAGGAAAAGCAACATCAAAATAGACTGAATGCAAAAACAGAAATCAGAATCCACCTATCTTCTACTAAGCTAAAGATTAAAGAGATTTACAAAGATATAACACAACGTCACTCTTTTCACTAATTTTTTTTGTTTTGGAAAACAGTTATATTTTATTAAAACTATGATCTTATGGGTTTGCTCTTGCTCTTAAATGAATTAATATTTTTGGTTCCTCAATTTGAATTTCTAGTACAATAAATATTGATAGATATAACCTTTATAAATTTTGGAGTCCTCAATAATTTTTTTTAAGTGTAAGGGATCCTGAGACCAAAAAATGTGAGGATCACTGGTTAAGAGTTGAAAGTAATTTATGTATCATAAGCCAAAACTTATACCATAGGTAATAGGCTAGAAAGAAAACAGATGGAAAGCCAGACTACACCTTCTATCATATTCCTATTCCACTCCCAGACTGGAGGTTGCCTGGCTGGAGATGAAGAAGTACTGGAAAGGAAGAAGAGAGGCAAACATGGGTATTAGTTCAGGACAAGAGATTTTCTTTAAAACTGAGGCTCCAAGAAGAGAGAAAGCTGTGTCCTACTTTCCAAACAAGGGTTTGGAAACAGCGCCCTCCTCTGTGTGCTCGGCCCACTAATGGTGCAGGAGCACCTAGTGACAGCAAGACATGGTGTTCTAGGCACATAGTCTCAGGTTGCACAGCTCCCACAGTGGCACAGAATGTATAGGCATTCCCAGTCTCCACGGGAAGCTGCAGAAATCAGT